CCCACGATGGAAGCGTGGCTTCGTCCATGCCACTGTTGGGGAGGAGTAAGGTACAGTACCTACACCCTTGGGCAATTGACGGAGGACAGGGATCACACATGCACTTGATTCGGAGTGTTGCTTCTCTTCTCTTGCCTTGAGTACACTGGCTGTCTTCTATCAAGAAGGAACGTCCTTGAGACTACGATTCTCTTTCTTCGTCGTGAAGGGCACATCAGTGTCAGGCGGCTGCATTCACGACCTCCAACCACAATGGCCAAATGCCACCCCGGAGGCCAGGACCAAGATGTACTATGTATCCCAAAATACCCCAACCGACCACCCGAACGTGGCGCTCAGGGCGACTAAGGGAGCAACGAAAACGGAGCCAGCCGGCATATCCACCCCACCTGGTCGCAACTGCACTCCAGGGCATCACTAAGCAAGTGCATTCCAGCTTTGAAACGCTCACGGCCCCTTCCCAATGAGTCTATGGAATACCCGACCTATGCAGGGATACCTCGTAGGGGTATAGAAATCTTATCCGACCTACTAAAAACCTCATCTAAAATATAGGGTATATCGCCTGACCTATAGAATACCTCACCTAACCTTTATAGTATTTAATTTAGAAAGATATTATATATATAGGAATAATATATAAGCGTATTTTAATTTTCCTAATATAAACCTAGACTATATCTAAATTATAATTAGATTCTAATTATATATTAATTGAATTTATATAACCTAGATTATATCTAGAGTTTATTTAAATTCTAATAATCTTAAAGATATTAATCTATTATAATTATAATTAGATTTAATCCCTTTATAGGAAAAAATCGTTTTTTTATATTTCTAAATATAATTTACTTAAAAGTAAAGGGAGCTATCCTTAGCCTTAGTATAGTAATATTATTTATTAATTATAGTCTTAACTTTATAAATTTAAAGTAATTAGAACTAAAATTAAATAGAATCTAATTTAAATCTTACTTTATCTATCTCGAAGGTTAGGAGGCTAGGGCGCTAAAACTTCTTATTATTAGTATATATCGTAGTCGACGTAGGAGGTATTAGGCAACGACCGAGGGTATAGCTTAGTTATAGAATAAAGAGATAATAATAGATAAGAGGAAGAGAGAGATAAAAGTAGCTATATCTTAAGAAGGAGACGTCGGGTCGAGAAATAGATTAAAGATTCTTATAGCCCTTAACGAGAGCTATAAAATAGTATATTTTTCATTTAGATCGAAAGTAAATAAGTAGAGGGGTAATTAGAAGAAGGTTATAATTAATCAAGAGAAGTACTTAGATTAATCCTAATAGGAATAAAGCGTATCTTAGAAGGTACCCGTTTATAATAGTTAAAAACGTATAAATTAGATAGGAATTATTATATAATAGGGATCTACGAATATAATTAGAATTAGATAATTATTAAGTCTAAAAACCTAAAAAATAGGTCTAGGGGGTGCCCTCTATATATAATAGATTAACCCTTAGTAGCTACGTATAGATAAGGCGCTTAGACTACCTCTAGACCTGCGGGGGAAGTAGAGTCGGATTTAAGCTCTAGCTAATAAGGTATAAGAGAACTTAAACGCTTATTACTATAGAATAGCTCTATAGAATATTATAAAAATTATACTATTCTATAGCTACGACTTTTCTCTATTTTATAATATATAAATTGTTATAGTTTAGCTTTTATTTAAGCTACTAGAGTAATTATAAGACTCTAACCCTTATAACTCCTATACTTATTATTAAAATACTATTTATATCCCTAAGTAGTAATATATCTATTTATAGCTATTATAATTATTAAAAGGGGCTAATTAATCTTAGTATAAAAAGCGGATATAATTAATATAAAGTTATATTTTAATTATAATTAGAGTAAAATCCGATTAAGTTCTTATAATAATATAAGTATAAATAGATTAAATTCCTTTTTTATATAATATAGATTTACTTATATAAATATAAAAGGGCTATAGGGGCAAGTTATTTACTAGCTTATAGTTATTTGACCTAAGATTTAATAACCTATATAGGTTAGGTTAGGTCGCTCTATTAATATTACTTACTTAACCTAATAATATATATAGAGGAGGTTGCCTAAGGTAGTAGATAGGTCGCCTTATATATTAGCTACCTTATACTATATTTACTATTTAACGTGAGATTATAGTAGGTCGGATAAGGTTTCTATATCCCTGCGAGGTACCCCTGCACAGGTCGGGTGAACTATATTCACTTCCCAATAGCATATAGCGGGCGACTCGGAAGGAGCGAGCGGCCGCCAGGGGGGGGGGGTTTGGTCGACAACTTCGTCTCATTTTTGCTTGGCATTTTACCATCAGACGGAAAGCTCCCAGCTCTCTAACAACCTACATGTACCTTACTGAACTGGCCACATCCTGACTGTCAATCAACTTGTTCCATTCCCGGACGGATCCTGTGATTCACATCAACGTCGTCTTTGATTATTCTTGCCCTTCTAGACGGTCTGTCTTGACGTACCCACCTCACTCCATCTTCCCCTCAGCATCAAACCCATTGTACTGCTGCTGCTGCTGGTCGTTCGGCGCGGGACCAGTACTGACGCACGCCACGACAAAATGGAATCCTCAACGGCGCCGTCCACCCCCGACGAGCCTCAAAACCGCTTCTTGGCACTATGGAACATGACGTCTAAGCGAATGAGGTCTGCCTGCGGTCTCGTGATTTTTCTGTGAGCCGCATCACATCACTGTATACCCTTCCCCCCCGAGCGGCGTGCTGATACTGGGCAGAGGCCTGACGATATGGCTGTCCCTGCCATCCATCAAGACCATGACAGTTCCTCAAGTCAGCCTCCATTATGGTGTCAAGTCGCCATTCAACCACACAAAGGTCGCCCTCCTGATTGAGAACCGTCCCAATCCTATACTAGCCCCCCTCATGCTGCACTTCATGGCCGTTGTACCCCCTGACTGGCGCTTCCGCTTCATGGGCTCCGAGGAATCCGTCGCGCATATCAACCAGTCTATGGCCATTCGCGAGCATGTCAATTCTGGCAAACTCGACCTCACCTTCATTCCGTCCAACATGAGCACGGCCGGTCAAGAGATGATCTCCCGCTTCCTGACGAACCTGTGGCTCTACGAAACTGTCCTCCATCCCGCAGAGTGGCTGCTTGTCTTCCAGACCGACAGCATGCTCTGCGCCAACAGTCGCCACAACATCAACGACTTTCTCGAATTCGACTGGATTGGCGCCCCTTGGAACCCCAGTAGTCGCTGGGGTGGCAACGGTGGCCTGTCTCTCCGACGAGTCTCCGCCATAATCGATGTCCTCCGTGAGCAGGTCCGCGTCGACAACTCCGAACCCGAAGACGTCTGGCTCACCGAGCGTCTCGCCCACCGACCCGGTGCCCGTACTGCCAACAGCACCATCTCCATTGTTTTCAGTGGCGAGGGGTTCGTGGGCGAAAAAGTCAAAGTCGGCAGCAACAGCGACGCCTTCAACAGTTCGCTGGATGCTGCGGCTGCAGGCGAATACGTCCCCGAGCTCGATAGCTGGCGCGACGGCTTCTACGAGCCTATGGGCTACCACACCGGCGGCAGCGGGGCCTACCTCCACGGCCCTGTCTGGGGCAAGCCGTCCCTACGCAAGCACATTTGGGATTACTGCCCCGAGATTAAGATGACGCTTGCCATGGACGCCGCCGAGTACATTCCCGGCCATTGCAACGACGTCTGGAGACGAGACGGGTCAGAGGCACAGGTGGAGGCGGAGCTGGACGCGAGGTATCCGTTCGGCTCGGAGATTATTGATGGAGAAGAGTATCCTTTGCTGCCGCCCGGTCTGTCCGCATGGTGATCTATTTTGGTCATCTGCATTTCTTCGGTTTTTTTTTTTTTCTTATTTCATTTGAATTTTCCTCTTTTCCATCATGATTTCATCGGTGTCTGCGCAAGGTTTGTCATCTTCTTTTTGGGCGGCGGGGTTGGTGATGTCTCGGGCAATCTTGCTATGGAATACACAACGTTAGAAATTTCTACAAGTCCAAGGGACATGACCTTGGTTCTATCCCACGTACATGCCCACAGGATGCTGATTGTTCAGAACGCTCCTTGCAACACGTCGATTGATTAAAAATGCCCCCGATGCTCGAAGAACAGAAGCTGCGCTACGCACGCTAGGATATACTAGGATATTGAGCAGGCAGCCTGCTTAGAGAACGTACCCTCCACTGCCCAGGCAGCGCCATTCCCTGACGCCCCTGCCTTCCTCGAGTTCGACGCACCACCAGAGCACCTCCTTGGCCCGCTCCGGCAGACCGCTCTCCTCGTGCGCGCGGGCCAGCGCGAACCACGCCTCGGAGTAGTCCCAGGCGGACCCCAGCTTGGTGAGGCCCGTCAGCAGGCCGCTTGCGCGATCACGAGCCGCAAGGCGGTCGATCAGGGGCAACGAGCTGGCCTTGTAAGGCGCGGGGAGCTTGTCATCGTCCTCCGTCTTCGAGTCCTTGTCGTGGATGATGCAGGACTCGGCATGATGTTCTGCGTTGACTGATTTGCCGGCACCCAATCCAAGCGGCTCGGAGCGGAGCCCATCAGCTGGTGTGGTTATGCGGGGCAGTGACGCCGAAGGGGTGAGGTCCGAGTCGAATAGTCCGTTTTCGGTGGAGAGACTGGGCACGGCGGGCGGCGGGCGGATCTGCTCCGTGAAAATATCAAGGAGGATACTGGAGAGGCCCACAATGGCTGCCGGGTGATTGGGGAAGTGCGTCAGGGCGGACTCAAACTCGGAACGAGCGTCGTAGGGTGCTTCTTTCGCGAGCGAAAGGTAGCCCAACTATGCAGAGGTTAGTCTTGGTCCTGTCCATCGTGCCTTCTCTTTGTCATGGGATCGTACCTCTGCCCAAACGTCACCCCACAGTTCGTCGACACTTTTCCTCTCCGCCCATCCCGCGTTTCGGTACGCAGCCCCGTTCTCCGATGCGCTCCGCTCCGTGTCGAGTCCCTGCACCAGCTTCTGCGCCTCTCCAACAGCGCCCCGGCAGTCTTCAAACATGTCAGCTCTTCGATAGAAGCCCGCGATCATCAGCCACACTTTAACGAGAAGGGTGGTTCGCTGCTTCCGTTGCACTTCCTGAGCAAACTTGATGACAGGCAAAGGATTGGTGATGGTGTATGTTGCATCTGCGGAGATCTCTGAATAGGAATATGCGGTTGACTTGGAAGCCTGGGATGTGTACGAGTCGAGATGGTTCAGGGTCTGGCCCCGGGGTCCTGTGAATCCTGAGATTTGTTGCCTGCCGCCGTTGGCAGAGCCGAGGAAATCTGTCATGGGAATCTCAGTCGTGGGAGTGAAAAAGACTTCGCCATCCACAACTGTGGGTGAGTGAATAGGGGGGCCGAGGCTTGGCGCCCTCTTCCTGCTGCTGCTGCTCTCTCTTTTCTTGAGGCTGTTGCGCCTGCCAGACTCGCTTCTCCCCCTCAACCTACGAGAAGGTTTGCGCTCTGTCACTTGCCCAGACTCACCGGTCACCTGGATGGTCGGCGCGACGCCGGCAGAAGTCTGCGACGTAGGGGGCCGTGTCGATAGCGCCACGGACTTTTCGCTTTCGAGGAGGCTCGCGCGTCTGGAAGTACGACCTGTGCGCTCGGATCGGCCGCCGAAGATGCTGCCCCTAATACTGCGCAGCGTGCCGGCCGAGCTCTTCGGTACCTCTGTCGTTGTGGGCAAGTTGAGAGTGGGCTTGCTAGGCTTGACATCGCCGAAAAGCCGCTGAAAGAGGGAGAGCAGCTCGTGGCTAGCATTGACGGCAAATTCAGGGCCTTCCACCACCTCTACAAGGGCGAGCTGCGTCATTTTAACCTCGAGGATGCTCTCGCGTTCAAAGTCATCCATTTCGTCCACAACTGCGCTGTGTACGTTGGCGTGCTTCTCGTCGAGGTCATTCAGATGATCACTCCTGAATCCCTCCTTGGACCTACCGAAAAGAACGGTATCATCGCCAAACTGCTCGAACGCGCCCTCGCACGACCTCTCTGCCATGACGTAGTCCTGCCGCGCGCTCATCAACAAGGCAAGCAGGTGCCACAACGGGAGAAGCGAGCGTTGTTGCCAGTACGGGCCGTGATAGTGATTTTGGACATCGTCTGATGACTTGTGCGCAATCAAGGCAGTCTTGACAATCTCAATGGCTGGCGTCAACTCTCTCCGCTCCGCCAGCAGAAGACCGAGGGCAAAGAGACTGCGAACGTCGCGAGTACGGCCAAGCTCTGGCGAGACTGCTTTTCGAAGACATCGAATCGCCTTGGCTTGCAGTTCGACTCGAGAGCCGGCGTCGTGGGTCACACGGGACCAGTGGGCATGTGATAGACCCACCGCCTGCCACGACAAAGAGACAGATCTGGGTGAGATCTCGGGATGGAGCGTGCTGGTGGTCTCCTCGAGTTCCGGAAGCGTGGTTCCGTCCGAAACGCCTGCCCTCAGCTGCGGCAATCTCGCCATCCAGTCCTCCAGCTCAGCACCCAGGTCTTTGGCTTTCTCAATGGCATCCTTGCCGCCGTACCGACATAGCGCTAGGATGCACTGCGAGATTGTTTCAAGGACCGTGCCGTCGTCATCGAGTCCGCCCTCGGAATGTCCCGTCTTGTCTACTCTTGCTTTGCCGTGCTTGACCAGCTCCAAGTATGAATCAAAAGCTTTGAACGCAAGGTCGAATTCGGCGACTGACAAGTGAACAGTGAAGATGAACCTTAGAATGGCAGTCGAGTGGTAGGTTTTAGTCGCAGCACGGTAAAAGACATCCAAAGCACCACGGCTGACGCTCTCACGGCCGCCTTCACCGAGGTCTTCTTCCCTCCACCCGCGACCACAAAGAATGGACCAATTCTTCATGACGGACTTGGCAAACTCCTCGACTTCCTCGCGCTCCTCATCAGCTTTTGGGAATTGAGTTTCCGCAATCAGCAGAGCCTCAAAAGCAGCCTCCACCTTTTTCAGTTCCACGCGCAGCAGGCTTCTCGGAGACATCTCGGTGGTCATCGCGGGCAAGCTGCCTGTGGGGTATGGGAGGTTAAGGTCGAGGATATTGGAAAGGGCCGAGTAGTATTCGTTCCAGACGCGGCGCCTCGGGACAGAGCCTCTGTAGCCCTGGCCACCGACAACAGTGAAGGCCTCCCAGTACCTGGCCCAGGACCGATAGCAGGCCAGAGAGTCCATATCCTGGAGGGATCTCTCGTTGGACTGGAGAGCCTCGCTCTGCAGCATGCAGAACTCGGTCAAGAACAGCTCGGAGCAGTATCGCAGTTGTTTCCCGCCGCTCTTTCTCGACCATATGGCCGTGGCAGCCGGCAGAGCGGCCTCGAATATGCGCAGTGCTTCCTCCCTCTGTCCGCTGACGACGAGGCAGTCGGCCTTGAGGTAGGCTGCCTTGAGCGAGCAGACGCTCGTCCATTCGGAGACCTTGTTGTCGGGATCCTGGATATTCTGTTGGTCAAGGGTCGAAGGCAGTCTCGTGGCGGCCAAGCGGTATTCCTTGCTAGTCCAGTGCACCCAGCCCACGGCAACTTGCGCCTGGAATTTGTCTTCGGGGTGCAGGTCGTCATTCTCGATGATCCCGAGAAGCTTGGGGATGTGATCAGCTGTGTCGATGTCGCTCGCAGGCGCTGCAGCAGTTTGAGGTCGTGCGGTCTGAGGACGGGAGGCAGTGTTCGAAGAGGTTTTGGAGGATGTTGACACGGCGTACTCGAGCTCGGCGGTCAAGGTGAGGCATGTTCGATCCGGCGCATGTTTCCTGATTTTGCGCACAAACTCGGGAACAGCTTGCCAGTTCCCCTCGGCCCTCGCAGCATCGAGGGCCTGGATGTAGTGGGCGGCTTTGGTCGCGTCGGGCTGGAGGTGTTGGCGAGGGATTAGCCAAGCTGTACGTCATTGAAGCAGACAGATTGACATCACGGAAGGGGGGTCCCACTAGACGTCAACAATGCTCACCATTTGCGCAAGATAAGATGCCCAGTACAGCAGAAGTACAGAAAAACAAGGACGTGACGTTATCGTGTCTGCAGTCGTGGCATGTTCGGTAGGTAGGATATTGATCGCGGGGGAGATTGGGAGCTGCGTCACGTAAGGGGGCTCGCCAGAGGTAGCAGGAAGAATGTTGGAAGTAGGATACGACAGTTGTGCCTGCCATGGAGCTCAGGGTTGGCCAGCAACAAACAGCACGAGCATCTGACTAGCACCGTCAGCAGCCGGCAGCAGGGGCGTAGGCAGGAGCTCCCCCTTGGACCTACCGGGACTGTCGATCGACGAACCATAGCAGGAGCAGGAACAAGGGGGATTGGAGATCTCGACCAATCAGAGATGGTGGGCCTGGGGTCCCGCAAAAAGATACAGAGGTACTTCTCAATCGCTGCCAAAAAAGTTTCAACAGCTGCTTCCTCAGTTCCTCAGAGGTTTCGCTCATTGATCAGAAAGAAGTGCTTGCGCCATCTCGTATTGCAAGCTGCCACCGAGACAGACTCATCGGCTTTTGGTTTCAACCGCCTGGGAGATTGGTTAACATCAAAGCTGCCATGTCTCTTCCCCCGGATCTGCGCGTCCTCTGCCGCCGCCTCACATCTACACCACCCGCTCAGCTGCCTCACTCGATACCGGCTTTCACAGGCCACGTTCTTCGGTGCCGAGATGTCCTCTCCACGCCGCACGATCCCAAGGCCAAGGATGGCGCGAACGAGGCCTACATGCTAGTGCATAAGCTCAAGACAATCATCACGACACTTCTCAACGGCAAAAGCGCCGCCGGCCGTTTCACCGGTGTGACACTCGTCAAGGCCGTGGTCGATGTTGGTGGATGGGAATGTCTGCGCGAATCTGGACCATGGGTCCGCAGTCTTCTTTCGATTCTTCAGGTGGGTTGACTGTGAGAGATTTCTGGCGTCAGGCAATGTACTCACAGTTGCAGAAAAACGACCCCTTCGCCGTCAAGGAGTTGTGTGTGGTGGCCCTCATCAAAATCTACACCCTCGTCAACGGCTTCCAGACATTGACGCGCGAGATCGCAACTCCCACCATTGCCACTTTCTTCAACGCTTGCCTACAGCTCGTGAAACAGCCACCGGCCGGTGAACGCTTGAAGACACCGCTGCACCTTGTCGAGACGATTCTGGACGCCTTTGCTACACTGCAACCTCTCTACCCTGCCACCTGCCGCCCGTTCAACAAGGATATCAGGGTCGTCATCAAGCCGTATCTCGCACCTACGTCTTCCGACGACATCTTGGTCCCCGAGTCTTTGCAGCGCGCAAGCCGAAGAGTCGCCATCTCCATCCACTTTACTACCGCCGGCAAGTCTGGCCCAAGCGACGAGTGGGCCAAGTTTGCGGCAGAACTGCCGAAGAATTTTCATCTCTGTGCAGACCAGGTCTTTCGCGCTTTTCAAGAGAGCTGGGATACTGTCCCGCCACGCGCGCGGTCCACTGTCAAGTATGACGCGCCGCCACAGGGGGAGGGTTCGGGCATTGAGCTGCCTGCCTGGAAGGGTGTTCGCGCTGGTGGTGACAGGCTGATTGGGTTGTTCCGGCTCATGGCGGACTCGCTACGCTACCCTACCAAAGACTTTGGCGTCATTCCTGTGGGCGCGTTTCTTGATACCGTCAGCCGCGTCTCTCTCATCAGCCGTCGTGGCAAGACACAAACGTGGGAGCAGGCTCTCGAGACTCATCCGGCTGTTGGCAGGGAGGAGAAAGAGGAGCTTTGGAGTATCATGGCCAACATACATATTGCCGCTCTTGACCTTCTCCAGACTCTGTTTAGGAGACTGCAGCACAATGCTCTCCCTCTTGCGTCTGAAAGTCTCGACATTGTCGTTCTGATTCTCAAGTCTGGCATTGACAACCCGGTTGTTCGTGTCGCCGCCTACAAAATCTTTTGCGACATGCTGCCAATTGTCGGTCCCGGAATGAGCAAGCCGGCAACTGACGCCGTCGGCGTCGTCATGCTTGCATGCTGCCGTGATCTGCAACAGGAAGCGGGCCACCTTGCAGCCCCCGCACCCTCCAGCAAGCCCGAATCGGGCGCCAAGAAGAACAGCATCGCCGCGAATGCTGACCTCTTCCTCCCCCAACAGCAAGGTGAGGCAGCTTTGACTCCTGCCAAAACCACTAGTCTACCTAAAGAGCAACTGGAAGTCGCCGAGACGCTTTTGGCTAGCCTCCTCGCCAACATCCCACAGCGGCGCCTCAAGCCGGGCCTGCGTGGGCTGCTCGACCAGACAGCTGTGCTCAGCCAGAGCAGGGACGCCATGCTCGCCAGTGTCCTGAATCCTTACATCAACGAGGCTGGTAAGAGCTACGCCAGCATCCTACCGCATCTGTCGCGCCGCTTCCCTTGCGATCAAGGGGTTGAGATTCTGCGGTCTAACATTCGCTCCTCGGCGCCTTCGTCTGGTGATGGCGTCGACATGACAGCCGGCTTTGAGGAGCTGGACGAAGTGGAAGATGACGAAGATGATGATGAGATGGTCGATGCCATTGAAGTGCAGGGCAGCGGCGAGGACCAAAAGGCTGATGAGGCCGAGAGTAGCAGCGGGTTTGGCATTGCCTCCAAGACGGCTTCCGTGTTGAGCGGCGAGGGCAAGGATCTGGCCAGCAATAACAGCCCTTTCCTGACGCAAAAGCCCTCTACTGTTGAAGCAGCAGGCGGTTCTTTGGCGTCGCAGAAGCGCAAGCTTGAGGACGCCGTGGACGTGGTGCCGCCACACAAGAAGCACGGCGTGGAGAGGAGCATACCTGAGCGGCCCGTGGCTGCGGCCGCCGAGAAGAAGGCGGTGGAAGGAGAAGGGGAGAGCGATGACGAAAGTGTCGATCTGAACATGGACCTGGACGATCTGGACGACGAGGAGGACGAAGACTAGATGTTAGCAGCCATGTATATGTCTTGGCGTCGTTGGATAAATGTTTGCATACATGGCGGCGAGACCAAACAGACCACGCAAGTTCTGATACCCCAACCCTTGGCTCGATCGACCTCATATCGATGTTCTCCCGTTACAACTGGGTATAGCTATGTCCCAATTCCGGCATCACATTCGACAGTGTCTAATGACTTTTTATTCCTGCACCATCCTGCGGTGATTCTCCTGCCAAAGCGCAACAGCAGCCCAAATGTCCAGGCTGCTCCCGACCGGTACATGCAGCGCAACCCCCGCCAGCGCATCCGCATCCAACGCCGATGAACCTTCCCAAAAAAAAAACAAGTAATAAGAATTTAGAGGAAGAAAAGAAAAAAAAAGACAACAACCAAAGCTAGAAACAAAAAAAAAAAGCCTCAATCCCTCAGCCATGCCCTCCTCTTCTCCTCCTTTCTCGCTTTCCTCTTCTCCTTGAACTGCTTCAGCTCCGTCTTGCTGAGCTTCTTCCCCGACCTCTCGGCCTTGAGACTCCGGCCGTCGTGCGAATTGGCCGCGGCGTCGACGTCGAAAAAGGCATTCATCTGCCGCCTGCTCTTGGCCTCGTCCGAATGCCGATCCGGTCCGTCGCCGACGGCCTGGAACTGGCTCGTGAAGCGTATAAAGGCGGCTGCCGCGGCGTAGTCGCCTCCCAGCAGCTGGCCGGCCTGCGCGGCGGCAGCGTGCTGCTCCTCGTCCGAGGGTTCCGTCTGGGCGTACCAGGCCGTGGGGTCGTAGTCGCCGTGGATGGCGGGGTTGTAGCCGCCGGCGGGCGGGCGCGAAGTGTCTGCTGGCAGGGGCGGTGGCGCGGTGAGGGCTGCGGCGGCGGCCGTTGTGCCTGGCGCGCCGGGCGCTGTTGTCGCGGACGAGGAGCCGGCGGCGGCGAGGCGCGGGTTGTCCCATTGCGTGGCGCCGGTGAAGCGGTTGTAGAAGAAGTAGGCCTGCGTCGTGGCGTCCCACTGGAAGTCCCAGCCGTCGTCTCCGGCGGCGGGCGGGGCCTCGTCGGGGAGCGGCGGCGCCTCGCTCGGCAGGGGAGGCTGTTCGGCGGGCAGAGGGGGGTCGGAGGCGCTGGGGGCCGGGGAGGCCGAGTGTGTTTCGCCGGGCTCGGGGGAGGATCGGGTGGATGGTGGTGGTGTCGCTGACGGGTGGTCGATCGTGTCTGGTTGTGGTGCGGCGCCATCGTCTTTCGCAGGGGCGGCCACGGCTTCGGCGTCGCGTGACGCCGTGTCCTCGAGCTGGGGATCGTGCTCGGGCGATGCGCCGGCAGCGGCAACAGCAGCAGCGATGGCGGCCTCGGCCTCGGCGTCAGCGTCAGCGTCAGCTCCTGCTATTTCGGTCTCGACGCGGCTCGGGGAAAGAGGGTCGGAAGCCATGGCGAAAGAGGGCGACAAAGATGGGTGCTCTGCTTCAATGCAATGTGGCGGAGAGCTTCATCCCCGTTTGATGGAACGACAGGCCGACCGCAGACGTGTGTTGGTGGTTGGTATGGTTGTGGTGGAAAGTGGAAAGTGGAAAGCCGTGGGGGACGCGCGGGGAGACTGAGGTCAAGATTTGCAGGTCGCGAACGTGTGCAATGGAATCGACGCTTTCTCTGCTGTGCAGTGAAGTCGCAGCTCGGGCGCGGCTGGCCCAGCGAAAAATCCATGGCTGCGTCATGGCAGGTGGACCGTGTTGGTCTTCCTCGCACTGTATCACGCACAGTACACTGCTTGGACCTCGACACCACCGAAAGGTCCTCGTACGTAGAAGTGTCTTCTTTTGCTCCTCCACTGAGCGGGAGGGTCATTCCGATGCTCCCAGGTGCCGCCTCTCTTCCTGCTGAGGGACTGACCCTCATCTCGCGATGCTCCCTTGCAGAAGCTGAGCCATTTCGGCCCAATTTGAGCAGTCACGGTGGTGCTACGGCCGGTGTTAGTCGAGGGTCATGGTGTATTTTGAAAAGATCATAGCATCTCAAAAGTGCCACGACTGCCACGCTGGTGATCTTCATCGTAGAATGCTGTGTAGCGTTGCGATTGGTAGAATTCGCTTGTTGATAGTAGCTGAGAGCTGCTGAGATTTATGCCTTTGGGTTCCTGAATACCAACAACCATGATCTGCCGAAAAGACGTGGGATTATATAGAAAACCAGGAACATCTTTAAATATTGCTGAAAGCAATTCGCGGCACTGATGCCTTTGCTTTCTCCAGACCTGCTACTAACTTGACAACCTAAGCTATGCAAAAAGCTAAACTAGATGAGAACATCTGATAAACGAAAACCTTGAAGCATCTAGGATTTTAAATACGTGAAGACTGACAATTCAGCGCCATGGAGGGGCAGCTGAGAGTGCGAGCCGAATTCAAAGGATATCGTCGCTGTCGACGTCGAAGACTGGCATGTCTCTTAGAGCGATGGAACAAACAGCGTAAAGAGGTTGTCCATTAATTCCCTTAATGAGCCTCCGGAAGCCGATCTTAAGCAGGACAACTTTGAGGTTGTAGTAGTCGTATGCAAGCAAGCCGCCAACGAATAAGGCGCTGGCTAGTGTGGATGCTGATTTACGCTTGAGAATCCCAACGGGGCTTCCGTGCCAAGGCCTCTGGTGAACTGGTCCGGGTCTGTTCGGGTTGGCATCTCGTCGAGGTGGCTGTACCAGAAGCCCAGGATGTATGGTTTTTGCGTCCAAGCTGGGCCGATCGGAGTCGGAGGCATTCTGGCGGCGACTCGCATCCAAACCGGCCTTAGAGCTGATTCCTGATGGCAGAATCTGGTGCAAAGATGTCGTTCAATAGATCTTGTCGTTGATCCTCTGCTCCCCTTTGTGAGCAGCAGCATGGTGATCGATGTTGTCAGTCGAATTGGTGCAGATCGACCAGGGCCTCCGAGAAGACATACTGGATACGCGTGTTACCACGATCTTTCTCACGTCAGACTACATCTGGAGGCCCCTGTTGAGATGCGACACCCAGCCCATTTCCTTTTACGCGTACAGCAACTCTAGAAACAATGCTTCAAGAACCCGAGGCTAGCAAGCTAATACCTAGCATTCCCTGAATTGCTGCTACTTGTTGCTCTTAAGCGAAAGGTCGTTCCGTCAGCCCAATATTCCACTTAGTCTGATTGGATGCATTTACGAAAGTGGATGGGATTTCGACAAAGAATCATTATCTCTTGCATCGCGATCAAATCGTGTTACAAGGGTCAGATTTGGAACAGCTTGGATGATAGTAAAGTATGAACCAACGGCAGGGTCACGGCAAGTAACGAGAAGCCCTCGACCAACAGTCCCAGTCCTCCTCGACAATTCCCCGGTACTTTCAATTACCATTTGCCGTTTTCCAACATGAAGTTCCCTGTCCCGATTCTGTCGCTGCTGGCCGTCGCCCAGGCAGTGGCTATCCCTTCGGGGTCCGAGGCTTCTGCCTTTTCTTTTGAGCAATGGGTCGAAGACATCATTGCCAGCCCCGACGGGAAGCATCTCAGCCCTGAAGAGGCGATAGATGCTCATCTGGCTTACATCAATGGCACGGATGTCAACTTGCTGGAATCCCGAGCCCTCGAGAAACGTGTGACATGCTGGACCAGCAGTACCTCACCACCTCCAGCCTGGGTAGGCTTAACATGCGCTATGACGGCTTGAGCATCTGTTGACTCGTTGTTCAAATCCAGGGTCCAGACGCTGTCACATGCATCAATTACATGGCCAGCATCGGAAGCCGGGGCTGCACTGTTCTACCAATATGGTCAGCTTTTCCGGCGCTGTGGTAATGCAAGGATCTACGGGACGACTGGTGGTAGTCAGAGCCTGCCAGTGACAGATATCTGGTAAGTTCATAGACCCCATTTGGTTGAAACCTCACATACTGATCCATAGCTTAGCAGTAAAGTTGCTCGCGCAGCTGGCCGTGTTATGGATTCGTGCTACCGTTCGGACAACACAGTCAGGGGAAGCGAAATGGTCAGCAACAAGGCGTACCAGCTCAACTTGAATGGAGTCAACTGAGCTGGTTGTCAACCCATGCGTGACAGAAGACGTGCTGGTAATAAGCCGCAAGACAATGACGCGAGACAAGAAAATCAGTGGCCAGCCTATGGCATGGTCAGGTGAGTTCTGCAGCATGGTCCTTGCTTGTATATCCCCTGCGTCAAAGAGGGGGTTGTATTCGTTATATACAGTTCCTTAGGATCTGTTGCGATATTTCGAAACTTTCATAGATACGAACATATTTTGCTTGCAATGTCCTCCGGAAAGTCGCTCTGCGTCGTACTCACAAATAGCACAGAGAAGGCCAAGCCTTGGCCCTTCTTATCTTACCCGCAGGCGTGGCAGCGCTTTTAGGTGGTGCTGCATCATGTGTAGTGAATCTCGATTGATTTTCTGTCCGAGTGTTAGGCAAGTGCTTCTGATGAAGTGCTTGTGATGAACCTTGGTACATCTTGGACTCTTTACCCCCAGGGTGACGAGCACAATAACACGACACCACCCCCGCTAGCCAAACGCCTCAACCGTCTACAGGCATGGTGGCAGCCCTCGTGTTCATATCGTCTACTGCTTCACTGTGAGACCTATAACGACCCCTTCAAACGAACTCTATTTCTCACGAAGAATGGGTGCACAATGTCAAACCTGCCTTCTAAAAACCAGAAACTGAATGAAATGGTGATCATACAAGACATCACAAGGTTGTCTGGGAACCTTCGCGCATGCGCTCGGCACTTGGACGATTATAATGTATTAGGTGATCCCGAGCTATTATGCTACGAGCAACCAGGCGTCTCGTAATCGCCTGTTGACATAAGTCTGTACGAACAAAAGAAACGATGAACCCCACAGATCATCTCGTACATGCCTATTGAATGCGAGCTCGATGCACGCCGCGAGTTTTTGACATTTCAGCGGGTTCAAGGTCTCTTCCTATAATCTGGCTGGAGAGGGCTCTTCACCACCTGACCACAGGCTAGCTGGCCGCCTGTTGGCCTGGAAAGACATTGGGAGGGAGTTTAACTGGGTCGAATATCCGCTTTGTCAATAAATCCGATTACGGGACGATCACGGGACATGAACTTTCTATCAAGGGGCACACGGCGCTGAGAGGCTTGCAGGTCAGTTGTTCGCGAGCTCCAAGCGACGTCTCATGTTGTCGATCATACTCTTTGCCCCAAGATCCTGGAGTCCAGCCAAGTCCGTGCGTACAGGTCACGGCTGTGCCACGCACTCAGCCATGATTCCGCAAGCATCCTGTTAACAGTTTCCACGTTTATGACAGCTGCGTGTCAAACATGAGCCTGGGGAACTCTGCTCTCGGGACCTCCGGTCCATGATGCTGGCTGGACAGATTCTGGTCAATTGGCCGAATTGCTGTCCTGATCCAGTTATTACCAACCCGCACCGCAACCTGTACAGCATCGTAGGCCCCGCCATCCCGAAAACGCCTCTCGCAACCCCTGTTCACCCCTGCCTGACATCGCGCCCAGCACTTTGACGAGACGTCTGAGCACCAAGTCCTTCAGGATCTCCGCTCTTTCAGGGTCGTATCGGGAGCCTAATACATCCCTTAAAGAAAGGCAAGCCAGCCGCTCGTTCCTGGCCTCGGTACCAGTCGATCAATTCTGTACCTCACGATCGTACGTTTTTGCGTGAGATATACTTTTCTCAGCATGAAGTCCATCTTGGCGTTACCATACTTCATCGCCGGTGCTTTAGCCGGGGGTCTTGACATGAGGCAGAGTGGCGACAGCAACTCGTGCCCGCAGCTTCACATCTTGGGCGCGCGAGAACCGACAGCGCCAGCGGGCTTTGGCTCTACACAGGGTGTCGTCCAGCTCCTGTTGGACCAGTTTCCCTCGTCGACGGCTGAGGCTATCAATTACCCTGCTGAAGGTGGTGATGCATATGGGCGGAGCGTGACGGCGGGACTCAGGGCCTTGCTGAATCAAACGCAAGCCGTCATGACAAGGTGTCCCGAGACCAAGTTTGTGCTCGTAGGGTACTCCATGGTAAGGCATCCCGAAGCGCGGGTATATAGCTGAGACGAAGGCGCTGACATGCCGTGAACTCGCAGGGCGCCCAAATCATCGACGATGCCATGTGCGGCGGCCCCGATCCCCCGAGTCTCATCACCGACATGATCCCCATGTCTCCCGAGATGGGCGAGAAAGTCGTTGCGACGCTGTGGATGGGCAACCCACGATTCTTCAGCCCTTCACCCTATAGCGTCGGGTCAGCTAAGCTCGGTGGCGTACGTCCCTCCCGCTCTCTTGGCACTATCTCTCTCCCTCTCTCTCTCCTCGGTACAAAGAGCACAAAGCTGACATGAATCAGTTTGCGGCGCGGGAGCAGGGCTTCGTGTGCGCCACCTACGCCGAGAGGATCCAGTCCTACTGCGACGAAAGAGACCCCTTCTGCTCCAAGGGTAGCAGCGACCTGACGCACCAGAACTATGCTTACAAGTACGGGAGTTCGGCGCTGAACTTTGTTAAGGCAAGGGTCATGGCGGATGCGTCAGAGGTCGACATGGTGTCGAACGAGAGTACTGCTGCGGCCACCGAGACCGATTCCTCGGCGGAAGGGTGGGCGAGGCCGCGTTTGGTTTTGTCAATGGTGTTTGGCATGGGTGCATTGGGCCTTGCTCTTTAAGACGAGATGATCGTGTCGTGCATAGCAACTGACTCAAGTATCTGGCGTTTTGAGGAGGAGATTGTACGCATCATGCTTGGGTAGCATTGGCCTGTTCTAGAAAAGAGAGGGTGTGTTTGGCGTCGATGTGACGCGGTGGGATGCGCATGATCGGCTATCTAGACAATTGAATGAATTGACTGTATTGTAATCTATCAAATCAACAATCTACAATCTACCAAACATGCCCCTTGTTCTGCTTGATGCTGATGACGTTTATATCCTTCCACATCATCACAGCAACCAGACCAACCACCCACATGCCCGTGCCGACAGCCAGCATCCTGGCCAGGCTGTCCTGGTAGGCGTGCTGGATGGCGATGCGTGCGTCCGACCCCACCGGATACGACAGCTGCGTGGAAATGTTGGCGTAAATGCATTCGAGGTTTGGCAGCTCGGCGCGGGGGAGATACGCCTCGAGCCTCCGCGGGAAGACGTCCTGCCAAATGGCCGACGCGGCCGTCAGGCCAATGGCGCCGCCAATGTTGCCAAACATGCCGAGAACGGCGAGGCAGATGGCGACGTGCTGGTGGGAGGCGGCGGCGAGGATGGCGAGCTCGTCGCAGACCATGATGGTGGCGGCGGCGACGGAGATGAGGATCTGGCACAGGACAATGGGCGCCACGGCGGCGCCGACGCTGCAGAGGTACAGCATGAGGCCGGAGCCGGCGGCGCTCACCGGGATGCCGACGTGTAGGCAGATGGGACGGAAGCGGCCCGTGTAGTGGATCAGGGCGCCGACGCCGATGCCGCAGAGAACGGAGCAGACGGTGTAGCTCTGCACGACGTAGCTCGCATTCTCGACGCTGAGATCGTTGACTACCTGCAGGTACGAGCTGAAGAAGCTGTTCCAGACAAAGTAGCTCAGGAAGAGCGTCGCCGACAGGAGGCACGCGCCGGCGACGGTGCCGTCGACGAGCAGCGCGTAGGGGATCAGCGTCATCGAGGCGTACCGCCGCTCCCACACGACAAAGCCGGCCGTCAGACTGATGCCGGCTCCGAGCATGCCCAGGATGACAGCAGGACTCCAGCCCTGCACAGTGTAGAGGTTGAACGGCAGTAGAAAGAGGGCGACGCCGGAGGAGAGCAGGATGAGGCCCACGGCATCGAACTGCTCGCAGTAATAGCGGAAGCCTTCCCAGAATGTGCGGTCCTCGTCGGCGGCGCCGTTCTTCACGACGAGACCTCTCTTCTTCGCCTTGAGATGGTTGTTCCAGAGGACACCAAACAGCGGCAGCGTGATGGCGGGCACCATGATCGTGGAAACGCCAAAAGCCCAGCGCCAACCCGGCCCCTCAAGGAATTTCGACGCGATCGGTCCGGCTGCGAAGCACGTAATGATGTTTGGCGAGCTGACAATGGCCTGCAACAAGCCTCGGTTCCGCAGTGAAGAAGTATCGGCCACGAAGACCATCAAACTGTACAGAATACCATTGTTGCCCACGGTGCCCAGGACCTGGGCCATAGCATACATCTCAATGTTGTTGCAGGCGGTCATCATGACGAGTCCGAGAGTGGCCAGCATGATGCAGAATAGAAAGCCGTGAGGGCGCCCGAACACGTCCAGGATCTTGGCCAGGGTGAGGTTCGTGACGCCGCCGACGACGCTGCTCAGAATGCCGACCGTTGGGGTTAGCGAGTGCATGGCGAATGCCGACGTGACATAAGGCGTCAGGATCATGGTCGATCCAGCGACGACACCTTCGACAAAGTGGGTGAGCCAGATCATCACGTAGACAGTGATGAGAGCGCCAGTCGTCCATGTCATTGCCACGGCCTCGATGTTCTGGACGCCTGGCTGAGGGTCCGCAGATGGGTCGTCCTCAATACGGTCATCGTGGGTGTGTAGAGCTGCATCTCCGGCAATGTTGGATTCGTGCGACTCATGGCTGAGGAGACTGAGGTTCTCGTCATCGTCTGATCGGCTGCCAGCGTTGACATCCCTCTCGGCTTGGGGCTTCATGGTCTGCTCAGGTTGGCTGCTTTCAACTGGGTGGCCAGCTTCCCTTTTGAGATGGTAAGGCCGTAAGGGTGTCAGTCAATGGGCTTCTAGACAAAACAGCATGGCATTAGAAAATGCGACATTGAACACGTCGAGCGCTGCAGAATAAAGCGAGGACTACACATGGCATCCTGAAAGGGCAGAATACGGGAGGGTACGGGTTTTGTGCAAGTGGCTGTAACCTGCTCACTGGGAACCTTCTCACGTACGCAAAACGTGCTCACTGTGGAGGATCACCTGTGAGTGCCCTACTGGCCTTCCGCTTCTATGCTAAGCACTGAAGTAAAACTTACTTATTTGGGAGGGTCTGAGACCTGCATCTGCG